CTATCTATCTATCTATTTATAAATATATATACGTAGCATACGTTCACGTCAACGGCATAATAACATTAGCATATGTATTTGATATAAATACGTATCTAAATCAACTACATATTAGCAATAATATACGTATATACTACAATATATATAAATATATTTATACGCATCACAACCATATCAACGGCATAATAGCATTCATACTATAGGATTGTATATATTCGTATCTCCGTTTTGAACATCGAAACACCAGTTTAATTATTAAATTATGAGTGATCTAAACAACGAAAACGACGCAGAATGGCCTTTCTTTCCCATCCCGAAGGATGAGGAGATCACCGGCAATCTTCTGAAAGTACAAGCGATGCGCGAGGAAATGGCCCGGAAAGCTATGCTGATCATAACTAATATTATGCCGGCAAAGATACTACAACTAGATGCTTTGTTCAAACTGACCTCTACGTCACACTTGAAAGCGGGAGACATACCAGCACCACTACGCACCAGCGCATTCACAGTCAAAGATCTGGAAGCGATTCACATCAAGACTGAGAGATGGACGGAGTGTTTGAAGTTACAGGAACACACAGACGGCTCAGTGAGCAAGAAACGAAAGCTAGAGGACGGGGAAAAGTTAGAAAGCGAGGCCCACATACCCAGCAATGAGCTGGTAATTAGTCTGCTAAAGGTGCTGAAAATGGAAATATTACAACTTGTCGAGTTCTGCAATACCGTCAAGATCTGGATTCAGTTGAACATCCCGAGGATTGAAGACGGCAACAACTTTGGGGTTTCAATCCAGGTGTGCGAGTTAATTTAATATATCATACATGTGTGAGTATGGAAATGTTCGTTTCGGTCCACATGTGTTTCTGGAAACTGTTATTCTGCTCACGATGCTGAAGCGGATGAATTATATAGTGTTTATGTTCTTGGCTCATGAATTCACAGCTTTATTATGATCGCGACCAAATCTATATATATATATATATATATGATTATTTGTATATATATATTTATAAATATATATATATATTTATACATATATATAAGTATATATATATATGTATATATAAAATGTATATGTATATGTATATATATGTGTGTGTGTGTGTGCGTGTGTGTGTATTTATGTATATATGTATATATGTATGTATGCGTGTATGTCTGTACGTGTGTGTGTGTATGTATGTATGTACGTATGAATGTATGTATGTATTATGAATTGTGTATGTTTGTATGTATGTATGTATGTATGATTTGTGTATGTGTGTGTGTTTGTATGTGTGTATGTATGTATGAACATACATCCATCCATCCATACATTCATACATCCATATATATAAATAATATATATTTATATATATATATATATATGTATATGTATATATATGTATATATATATATGTATACGTAACCGAATAATAGATATACACGCATAGACACACACATATATAAATATATATATATATATATATACCTTTACATATACGTATACGTATATATAGGAATGCATATACCAAGTTGTTTATATGTATATATCTATATATATATATATCTATATATATCTATATCTATATCTATATCGATATACATTGTATAAGAATGTGTATGTATAAATGTACACATACATATGTAATGCTGTATATATATACTATATGTATTTTTATAAATATATATATATACATAATTAATATATATGTATGTATGTATGTATGTATTTACATTTATATATATACATATACATATATATTCTTCTTCCTTTCTCTCTTCGTACACATATCAATGTGTCATATTATAATTATACATCTCTAGTAATATATTTATATGTATGTATATTTATATATATATATGTGTGTATGTGTGTGTGTATGTATATTTATGGGCATGTATATAATTTTACATTACCATTCAACTGTACGAAAGTACTTCTATGTATATGAACATATATATCTTAACTTGTATATACGTATATGTTTGTGTTTTCGTTGTATTTTTGGGTGATTATTTGTTCATAACTATACATTACTTACACGTGTGTATAATGTGACCTATGCACGTACATCTATTGATACAAAGGACTATAAAACTAATCATACGTTTACAAATTTTCTATGCAAATTTTTATACAAAAATTCATATATATATATCTATATTAATATGTAT